AAATTTACCACATGAAATATTAATATATAGAAGAAGGGGTTACTAGCCTCTTGCTCCCGGCATTTTAGTTGCCTCTTACGATACGCATGGTTTATGGAGGAAGAATTCTGTTAACTTCCCCATGGAGATAAGAGGAAATAAACAAGAACTAGAAAGAAAACAGAAGAAAACCCAGAGGGGGTGTGTATATATATTCTTGTACATGTATATGTAGTGTGACCTAAGTGTAAGTAGAAGTAGCAAGATGTACCTGAAATCTTGCATACTTATGAGACAGAAAAAAGGACAACAGCAATCCTACCTTCATGTAAAACTATTACAGGCTTTCGTTTTACACTCACTTGGCAGGACGGTAGTACCTCCCTGGGCGGTTGCTGTCTACCAACCTACTATGGTAGTTATTACTGAAAGAATTAAGAGTAAGACGGAGAGTAGGATAGCTGATGAACAAGGAGGCTTTAGGAAAGGTAGGGGGTGTGTAGACCAAGTGTTTACAGTGAAACATATAGGTGAACACTATTTAGATAAGGCTAAAGAGGTTTTTGTGGCATTTATGGAGTTGGAAAAGACAGGGGGGCAATGTGGCAGATGTTGCAGGTGTATGGTGTAGGAGGTAGGTTACTGAAAGCAGTGAAGAGTTTTTACAAGGATAGTGAGGCTCATGTTAGAGTATGCAGGAGAGAGAAAGATTATTTTCCAGTAAAAGTAGGCCTTAGACAAGGATGTGTGATGTCACACATCAAGGATGTGTGATGGGGTTGTAAGAGAAGTGAATGCTAGGGTCTTGGCAAGAGGTGTGGAGTTAAAAGATGAAGAATCAAACACAAAGTGGGAGTTGTCACAGTTGCTCTTTGCTGATGACACGGTGCTTTTGGGAGATTCTGAGGAGAAGTTGCAGAGGTTGGTGGATGAATCTGGTAGGGTATGTAAAAGAAAATTAAAAGTGAATATAGGAAAGAGTAAGGTGATGAGGATAACAAAAAGATTAGGTGATGAAAGACTGGTTATCAGATTGGAGGGACAGTATGGAGGAAGTGAATGTATTCAGATATTTAGGAGTGGACGTATCAGCAGATGGGTCTATGAAGGATGAGGTGAAGAAGGGGTTGTTGAGGTGGTTCAGACATGTAGAGGGAATGGAACAAAACAGAATGACTTCGAGTGTATAAATCTGTAGTGGAGGGACGGCGGGGTAGAGGTAGGCCTAGGAAGGGATGGAGGGAGGGGGTAAAGGAGGTCTTGTGTGCGAAGGGCTAGGACTTCCAGCAAGTGTGCATGAGCGTATTTGACAGGAGTGAATGGAGACAAATGGTTTTTAATACTTGACGTGCTGTTGGAGTGCAAGCAAAGGAACATTTAAGAAGGGATTCAGGGAAACCAGCAGGCCAGACTTGAGTCCTGGAAATGGGAAGTATAGTGTCTACACTGTGAAGGAGGGGTGTTAATGATGCAATTTTATAACTGTAGTGTAAAGCACTCCTCTGGCAAGACAGTGATGGAGTGAATGATGATGAAAGTTTTTCTTTTTTGGGCCACCTTGTCTTGGTGGGAATCGGCTGATGTGTAAAAAAAAAAAAAAAAAAAAAAAAAAAAAAAAAAAAAAAAAAAGTGTGGGTGGGGTAGCCATATGGGCTATGATACCTACCACACTTTACTTTCTACAAATAAATACTATTCACCTTGCACCCTATATTAAGACAACAAATATTTTAAGGTAAGTTTTAAGTGTACACTATATGGATTTTACCACTCCAGGGTGCTTTAAATACCATGTGGATAGGGTGGAGTGGGGTGGGATGGCCTGGCTGGATACCATACCAGCACCACCTTACTTCTAACAATAAACACTACTCACCCTACATTAAGACTACAAATTTTTGAAGTAAGCAATGAGTGTACTGTGTATGTATTTTATTTTTTGCTTTTTAATGCCTAATATATGTTAGTGTAAACTTATCTGGCATTTGTAAGTGGAAACAAATGGCGTTCCTCTTTTTGGCGATTTCCGCATTAAGATGGTAGCCTGGAACCTAACCAGCCATATAAATGGGGCCCTACTGTATAGCAGGCACAATAATACAAGTGTACATCTCATATATTTAGTGGGTTCAAGCTTTTGAAAAGTGGTTGGGTTGGCACAGGAGTTGGTGATCATCCGCACAGCAGCTTTTTGTTGGGTTATTAAAGGTTTAAGGTGGTTGGCCATGGTTGATCCCCAGGCACAAGTAACATAGGTGAAGTAGGGATATATTAGTGTGGTATAGGGTAAGGAGTGTTGTTTGAGATACATAATACTATCTTGGAAAGGATGCCTACTGATTTGGAGATTTTTTTGGATATATGCTGGATGTGGGAATGAAATTTAAGATTACATTCAAGGTGAAAACCTATAAATTTACCCTCAGTATGTCTTGTAATGGAGGAACCATTTATCGATATATTAAGTTGGATATTTAAGGCTCTGTTTCCAAACAGCATGAAGTAGATTTTGCCTACATTAAGAGCGAGTTTGTTGTTCATCATCCAAGCAGATATTTTTTGCAGCTCGTTGTATAGCCAGGTTTGAGTGGAAGACATTAGTAGCAGTCTGCAAATAGAACTGGTTTAAGGAGTTGAGATGCACCGAGGTGATCATTGTGTAGATGAGGAGGAGTGATACAAGGACACTACCCTGGGGCACTCTTACAGCTACAGGTGGAGTAGACTCCTTTTACATGTACATATTGGTGTCTATTGCTAAGATAAGACTGTACGTAATCAAGGGAATGTCCTCTGATGCCATAATGGTCTAGTTTTAGGTGCAAAAGATTGTGGTCCACTGTGAGGGGCCCCAGTGGATGTTCATTTCAATCAAGGGCTATATATAGTACAGTGGACCCCCACATAACGATATTAATCCGTGCATGAGAGCTCATTGTTATGCGAAATTATCGTTATGCGAATGAATTTTCCCAATAAGAAATAATGGAAATCCAATTAATCCGTGCAAGACACCCAAAAGTATGAAAAAAAAATTTTACCACATGAAATATACATTTTCCTACACACAAAGAGAAGGATACATGCACAATAGTAGAGTAGTACATGCACAGTATATATTGTGCATGTACTACTCTACTAAATGAAGAATAAATGACACTTACCTTTATTGAAGATGCAGCAATGACTGATGAGACACTGTGTCCTGGGAGTGCCTTTTCCTCCTGAGTACTGTAGGTCCTGTTTGGCATTTTCTTCCAGAACAGGCCTTATCACACTGTGTATGCCACTACGATTCTTAATCTCTCAAACCAACCTTTGCTGGCTTTAAATTCACCAATATGAGCACTAGTTCCAGGCATTTTTCCCTGTTCACCTGGGTGTTAGTGGACTGGTGTGGGTTGCATCCTGGGAGACAAGATTAAGGACCCCAATGGAAATAAGTTAGACAGTCTTCGATGACACTGACTTTTTTGGGTTATCCTGGGTGGCTAATCCTCTGGGGTTAATTGTTTCTTGGTATTCTCAATAAGCCACACCAACAACTGTGCTACAGCAGCAGCAGCAGACGATGCTACAGCAGCAGCAGACGGTACTACAGCAGCAGCAGCAGCAGCTGACGGTGGTACAGCAGCAGCTGACAGTGCTACAGCAGCAGCAGCAGCTGACAGTGCTACAGCAGCAGCAGCAGCTGACAGTGCTACAGCAGCAGCAGCAGCTGACAGTGCTACAGCAGCAGCAGACGATGCTACAGCAGCAGCAGACGGTGCTACAGCAGCAGCAGACGGTGCTACAGCAGCAGCAGCAGCAGCTGACGGTGGTACAGCAGCAGCAGCTGACAGTGCTACAGCGGCAGCAGATGATGCTACAGCAGCAGCAGACAATGCTACAGCAGCAGCAGCAGACGGTACTACAGCAGCAGCAGCAGCTGACGGTGGTACAACAGCAGCAGCAGCTGACAGTGCTACAGCAGCAGCAGACGATGCTACAGCAGCAGCAGACGGTACTACAGCAGCAGCAGCAGCTGACGGAGGTACAGCAGCAGCAGCAGCTGATGGTGCTACAGCAGCAGCAGCAGCAGCAGCAGCTGACGGTGGTATAGCAGCAGCTGACGGTGCTACAGCAGCAGCTGACGGTACAGCAGCAGCAGCAGCTGTATGGAGACACGCACTCCACTTTCATACTTATCAATGATCTTTTTCTTCATCTCTATAGTAATTCTCACCCTTATTGCTGTAGGGTTGGCACTAGAAGCTTTCTTGGGGCCCATGGTCACTTATTTTGCAGATAAAATCACCAAAAATACTGTAATATGAAATGTTCCGATTGTATGCTTGGATGTTACCGCGTAGGCTGGCTGGTAAACAATGCCACCGGCGGAACATGTGAGGGTGGCTCAGGCCGCACATAGACGCGTCTCGGACGAACAGCGTTGAGCGGGTTTTTTAGCGGTATGCGAGGCAAAATCTTAGCGATAAAATGTAGCGGTATGCGGATTTAACGTTATGTAAGGCCAACGGTATGCAGGGGTCCACTGTATATAGTAGTTCAAGCATTTGTATAATAGCATCATTTGTACTTTTTTTTCTTCGGTCTAAGCCCAAACTGGCAGGGGTTATGTATGTTGTTGGATACAAGATAGGAGTCAAGTCGTTTGTGAATGATTTTTTTGAAGATTAGATTAGATAAGATTTTTTATTTTGATAAATTACATGGTTGTACAGAGGAATATAATAGTTGGGTGTACATGCCAAAAGCCCCTCTGTATGCTGAGCATTTCAGGCAAACTTAAAGATTAACTTAAGAATAGTACATAGTATAATATACACCTACCATCCGACTTACGACCAAGTTCGGTTCCGAGAAACCGGTCGTAAGTCGAAATGGTCGTAAGTCGAACTTTACTACTGAATATCAACAAAACATTTTTGTAATGACTATTTTATTGTTTTATTTTGGTATTTCATGTTTTACTTTACTTTTTATGTTGTTAGTACTGTATTTTATACTGTAAGGTTTAGGATAAACACTGTGTACAACACAAATAGTTGTTTATTTCCCAGAAATTTTGGCATAAAAAACACGGTCGTAAGTCGAGTGGTCGTAAGTCGAGCAGGTCGTAAGTTGCATGGTAGGTGTACATAGCTCATATGGGCATTAGATGAGCTAGAGTGAGTAAAGGAGAATATACTATTACATAATATACATGTATTATATTCTTCGTGGTTTTGATAAGTCTAGTAGAGACTTTTCACATTATTGAGTTAGTTAATAAAGATTACAGTATTACATTGTAACAATTTAAAACAATTTACAGTGTGATGTATTACAGTTTAGTACTGTTTAAAACAATGAAATTTGGTATTACAATGGAACAACTTACATGATGTACTGTATTACAATCTACTACACTTTAAAACAGTGAAAAGAACAGACATCTTAATTTCAAAGTAGTAAGTGGTTAAGTATTCATCAGCACAATATATGAGTAGCTTTTGAGAAACTAGTAGTGGTTAGGTATGGTTTGTCTGGTTAATTTTGGGTGATGAGGTGATTTCTTAATTGGGCCTTCAACTGATTTGCAGACAAGGGTCCTTTAGTTTGTTCTGGCAAGGAATTCCAGATCTTCAGGCCTTTTACGTGCATATTATTATGATTATTATTATTATTATTATTATAATCAAAAAGAAGCGCTAACCCACAAGGGCTATACAGTACTGCAGGGTAGGGAAGGAAGCGAGGGTATCAGGCGGCAGAAGGGGGGAGGGACGACTAGTAGGTTACAGAAAGCAGCGGGGCAGGGGATAGTGCAGGGGTAGAGGGTAGCAAGAGATTGAGGTAGGAAGGGCTGAAGGTATCATCAGAGTTTGTGGAGTAAGTCAGTTGTTGTCAAAAAGTCGGATGAAAGGTGGGTCCATCAGCGAGAAGGGAAGGTAAAGAGAGCAGCGGAGTGAAGACGACGTTGGAGGTAAATTCTGCATGCTTGTTGATAAAGTGGGCAGTCTAACAAAATGTGGCTGACCGATAATGGAACCTGACAATTCTCACAGAGAGGAGCAGGGCGCCTCTCCACGAGATATCCATGAGCAAGACGAGTATGGCCAATGCGAAGACGGGAGAGAGTAGTCTCCCAACCTCGACACTGGTGACAAGAAGATGGCCAGTAACCTATACACGGTTTAATAGAACAAACTTTGTTATTGAGCAGAGCAGACCAATGTTGTTGCCAACGGGTGTGAAGGTGGGTAGCTATTACAGCAAAATAGTCCGTAATGGAACACCTCTATATGAAACTGGTAGGTCATGTACTGCTGACCATGCAGCAGTGTCTGCCTGTTCATTGCCCTGTACGTCAACATGACCAGGAGCAATATCTTTATGCTTGGTAGAGATACGGCATAGGCAAAGTTGGATACGGAGAACTAGAGGGCGAGGTGTAGCAAATTTCCGTATAGCCTGTAGAGCACTAAGGGAGTCTGACACCATGTTTCAAAGAGTTACACAAGCTGCAGAACTTCTAGGAATATGTCCAGTGACTGTATATTGGTATATATATTATAGAACAATAGTAATAAAAAATTTTTTGTATTGTTTGTTTTTGTAAACAAGTTTTATAAAGAATATATTGATAATTATGTTTGTGTGCTTATTGTGTTGTATACAACGAGTGTATATATGTACACTGCACCTTACTTTGGTCTCACAGGCCACATAAGTTATTTGAAAAAATAAAATAGTGAAAAAAAAAAAAAAAAAAAAAAAAAAAAAAAACTTCAAATACAAGAAAACTAAAGTTTACCGGGTGAGCGGCAGTCGCCGCTGTTGCCATACGCGGCTCATTTTCTGCAAATTCACAGCTCTATATCTCAGTAAATACTGATGGCAAAAAAATTTTTTTGGACTAAAACACTCAGAAAAATAATCTTAACATTTTCATAAGAAAAAATAATTTTTTTTTCGAATATTTTGCGACATAGAATGACAGTTTCAGAAAGGGGCCTGCGACAGTCAAAGGGTTAAAACTGAAGACGAGAAGAGGTGTAAAAGCTCATCAATGGAAGATGAAGAAGGAACCTCACTAAAAACAGTTAGTTGTGAGTAAAGGTCCCAATTTGCCTGATCAAATTGCCAGCGTGGGTTACGAAGAGGTGGTCAATATGAAGGGGAAGTAACAATGATTGGAAAATGATTGCTGTCATGTAAATCCGGGAGAACAGACCAGGTGAAGTCTAGTGCAGAGGAGGAAGAGCAGACTGAGAGATCGATGCAAGAGAGAGTATGAGTACGAGGATCAAAATGGGCGAGAGTGTACCTATATTTAAAACATGGAGGGGGTGGGAAGCAAGAAAAGCCTCTAGCTGAATGCCTCGAGAATCACAGTGAGACCCCCCAGAGAAAATGATGGGCATTAAAATCGCCAAGTAACAGAAGTGGTGGCGGTAATGACGAAACAAGAAAGGCAATATCTGAAATAGATAATACTCGAGAAGGAGAGAGGTACAAAGAACAGTGTGTATACCACCTATGCAGGTGGATACGGGCTGCTGTGTAATGCAGCGAAGTACGAACAAATAGCTGAAGGTACGGAATATCAGTGCGTAGAAGAAGGGCACTTTCGTTAAAGGTCCCATCAGGAAAAGGATCCGAAGAATACAATAAATTATAGCCCGAGATGGGATAGATAACAGCAGAGTGTAATTTTGGTTCTTGTAAGCAAACGCCAACAGGGAAAAATTGGGAGAGCAACGTCAGAAGCGCAACTCGATTACCCCTGAGGCCGCGTATATTCCACTGTAAATAGGCCATGATTGGCAATGATAAAGATAATAGAAATCCGCAGGTAAGGGTACTTACGGACTAGAGGGGTTAGAAAAGTCCACATGGGGTGGCAGCGGAAAATGTTCAAGCAGCGAAGGAACGGTGTGCTGTGAAGAAAGAAGTTGCGCAGATAGAGAAGAGGAAAGAGAAGCAACAGAGGGTGGATCAGTATCCATTGATGGTTTGGTCTCTGCAATATATTCAGAGATTGCTTCAAGTGTTTCGGAGTTCAGAGACGTCGTGTGGGAGACAATATTGGAGATGGAAGGAGGAGGAGTTGGAGTAAAGATCGGAACTGTAATGGACTGTATCAAGGTAGGGGAGGTGGGCGAAAGGGTGGAGGGAACCGGAGAAGTGTGGGAGGGGACAGAAGAGGCAGAAACCTGGGAGGTGGCAGAAGAGGAAGAAACTTGGGAGGGGACAGGGGAGGAAGGCACAGTACGAGGAGGAGGATGAGCCTCCACACTTGTAACCGAGCCAGTGAAAGGGGAAGACCCAGGTACAGAGACCGGGAAGGTAAAGTGTGGAGGTGGATAAAGGGAAGGAGGGGTTAAAGGAGATTTTTTGGAGTTCTAAGAAGTAGAGGGACAATTGGGAGTAGGTGTCGTACGAGGTCTTGTCGATACCGGGGATTGTGAGGGAGAACACAAAGAAGTGAGAACAGACTGAGGTGTTGAAGTATGGACATCTGAGCCCAGGACAGCAAAAGAATTAGATACAGGAGTGACTATGGGACCGGCAACCGCAGAGGAGGCTGCAGAAGATGGGACCCCAGAAGTGGGGGGACGTTTTGAAACACGAGAATAAGAAACATGGGGTAGTCTCCCTTGGAGGCAGAGATGAGAAACCGCCATAGCACAAGGGAGACCTTCTGCCTCTTTGAGGCAACGAATTTCCCGCTCATTCAAGTAGACCTGGCAGCGGCGAGAGTACGTAGGGTGAGCCTCGTGACAATTAAGACAAGAGGGAGGTCGACTGCAAGACATATTAGAATGGTCATAGGCACCACAGACTGGGCATTTGGCTATAGATCTGCAATATTTTGCTGGATGGCCAAATTGCCAGCAATTTCTACACTGTTGCGGTGTAGGGATCATCTTTCGAACTTGTAACCGATGTCCTGCTACATAAACAGAGGATGGGAGTTCACGGCTGTCAAAAGTTAAACAAGCCACATTGCAAGGGTATTGTCTCTGTCCGCGAGCAGGAAGAACATAAGTGTCTATCTTGAGAACTGGGAGATCTTGGAGTTCCAGCTGTTCGAGAATGTCATTGCCACATGTCTGAAAATTCTGTTGGACTATGGTATGGGGCAGAATGACAGTACCACTACAAGAATTGAGGGAATGATGTTTTTCGATAGTGATAGGAATAGTATCGATATGTGAAAGAAGAGAAAGATCATGAGCTTGGGTAGCATTCTGGACTGTGATGATACGCGTACCACTCTTAACCCTTTCAGGGTCGACAGGCCCTCTCAGAGACTTGTTCTCTGGGTCGGCCAAATTTAAAAAAAAAAAAAAAAATCTTATGGAAAGATAGAGAATCTGTTCCCGATCATAATGACACCAAAAGTATGAAATTTGATGGAAAACTTACAAAATTATGCTCTTGCAAAATTAGCGGTCTCAACGATGTTTACGCATCTGCGATTTTGCCCACTTTGAGCCCTATTTTTTGGCCAATTCCAGTGTACTAGTCGACAAAATCATAAATATTTTGCTAGAACTCCATTTTTTCTATCGAATGAGTACAAGAAACCACCCATTTACAGATTTCAACTATCCAATACAGTGGTCAGAATTTAGCAATTTTGCCAATTTCACACATTTCTAAAGATGCCAATTTCCGAATAGGGTCCAGAATAAACAAGAAAGACATTCCTGGCACTAAAATAACATTTCCTCTGTTCATTAGTCATGTCCCCATGCCCCTCTTACATTCTTTTGCTTTCCACTTTGAATTTTTATTCTCACAAAAAAATAGAAGATTTACTGTTATGCAGACTACTTCATTAGTGTAGAAATGGTATAAATAATATCAGTGCACTTGTGAAAGAATATAAGACTCACCAGTTGATGTGTATTGGACGCACAGCATGATTTGTTTACTTTTGAACTTTGGTAAAAAAAAAAGAACATTTCTGCTACTTTGAGCTCAATTTCAAGGTACTTTTCATTGTAAAACCAGTCAAAATCATCTCAATTTCTGTAATATGTCTTCCATTCTATAAAATGAGCCCAGGAAAACTAGAATACAACAATAAATACCATACGAAAATACAGTGCAAAGTCGCTGTTTTAATCCAAAAGTTTTTTTTTCTCATTATGCACTGTGGGATGCAGGAT